ACCCATTTCGCCTCTCCCAAAGTTTTACATAACTTTTTTCCATTTTTTTTAAAATTTTAGGAAAAAAAAAAAAAAAAAAAAAAAAAAGAAAGAAAACCAGTAACTTAAATCAACAGTTAAACGGTATAAAATTAGAACCAGTTCATCAGACCTCAAAGGTGAATAATGCAGCTCCATACGGAACCCCCCCCAAAAAAAAAAACACACACATTCTGCTACAAACTATACGTCCCAGTGATATGACAACAATAAAACTGAGTCCAACAAGAAGAATTCATGATCTTGTGACAGATCCAATCAGAATGAATTACCATCTTAGCTTTTATACATCTATCATTTGTACCGGTAATTAATCTCAAGAATGTCAAATTTAATATTAGAAAGTCAAACTTTTACAATCTTAGACATTAAAAGGGACAAGATCCCGGACAAAAACAACCTACTCCTTGGCATTTTTAGCTTGAAAAATTATTTTTTTAAGATTGTGTAGGAACCCTCAAATTCACTGGAAAACTGCATCCAGTCTTCACCCTTGAATAGCCTCCTTTGATTAGACCTTGTGTAATACCACTAATCTAAGTATATTTCAGATATTTCCATGTTGGCAGCAGGAAGCGGGTATGGAAACAGTTCTGATTTGTTACATCCCAGATAGCTGTACCTGCAGGATGTTGGAGACGACAAACATACATCAGAGCTGACATCTCCCCATCCACCCCGAGGTGTTTTCTCCCTCTTTGTCCGCAGATGGTAGACTGCGATCAATCTCGTCTTCCCTTTTCATTACTATTCATTCCACCTGTGCGAGACACTTACTGCTTTTTACTCTGCTACAAACACGTCTAAGTGCCAACCCCTAGCTCTCCGTTAAATAAATCCAGTCAGATTTATGCTGTAAAATATTAAGCGCAAAAGGAAAGAGAAGGAAATGCCTCGTGTGAATTTTACATGTTAAGTCGGAGCGAATAAAGCTCAACTGCTGGTTCGTGCTTCCCGCCGTGCTCCTGCGAAGGAGAAATTGGCGGCTTTGTGAGCAAACCTGCGATGCTAAGTTTTAGTCTGTGCATGCCAACAGAGACAGACAGAGAGGGCAGGGGAGTGACGGAGCAGCTCAGAGCCCTGAATCTTTCTTTCCACATGGACTAACGCATTTGGGCACAGAACTGTGAGGTGGAAGGACAGTAATGCATGGTTTTCAAAATGTTTCACAAATAAATATTTGAAGTGGTGGGCAACTTTAGCTCCCCTCTGTGAGTCCAGAGTTTGCAGGAACCACAGTTTGATGCAGGTAAACTCGGAGGCCTTCTGCTCTCCACCAGGTCTACATGGATACGGACTGAAACTTATGGCAAATAAAAACCTTGATTAGATTCAGGCACAGACTTTGACAAAGCCAGTCCAATATATGAACATTCTCAAAACGCAATCTTTCGATTTTAGCTCTGGCCGTATGCACAGGTTCGTTCCGCTGGAACGTTGACCTCTAACCTCTATGGTTTTCCCACCACTCTACATGCTTCTCTTCCGGGATTGCCCTGTTGTCAACTCTAACCATTTAGCGACTGGTGTCAGCAAATCCAGGAACAAGTCTCCACAAGGCAGTTTTGAGTCATCTTCAGATTCTGAAAGTGTGGGGCCTAAGCTTTAAAATAATGCCAAACACATGGAAATAAAAAAAAAAAAAAGAAATGAAGAAGCTATGGGCGTGTGAATGTTGGGCTTCTGGAATCCAGATTTCTGAGAAAACAGGCGTCAAAGTTTCTAAGTTCTCCCCAAATGTGTTGGGCAGCCTACAGGTGTTAAAGGCTCCTCTCTTAAGCCAGATTTTGTTTAGCTTATCTAGTCGGACATATATATTCTTAGAAGTTTTCAGCTTTCGTCATCTTCACTTCCCTCTCCAACTATTTCCTGTCTGATTACAGTCAATGTATGACAATAGCACCACAAGGAAAAAAAAATAAAAAATTCCCATTGCATAATTCTGCCAGCACCTTGGTGTGCTCATAGTGACCTAAAGCTCACATTTGGTTGCAAACACTGTTTAATCAAATCAAACACAGGTGGATTTGCTAATTAGGTAAATTTTGATGCATCGGTGTAAAGAAAAATGCAAGTCACACGTTTCAGATTTCTATCCGAGAACAATTTTAATAAATTGTTCCAATACTTTGTGCTGATCTATCCGATAAAATACTATAAAAATACACTGAATTATGTGGTTGCGTGTTGAAATATGTGAAATAGTTCAAAGTAGTTTGAGTCGCATGGCACTGAGTGCACTGCTTAGAAAGGGGCACCACTAATTTATGAAAAGCAATAAAAAAAATTATGTATTGAAAAAAATCATGACTAAAAAAAAAAAAAAAAAAAATCAAAGAAATGCAATATTTATTAGCAATTAAGCAATTCAATATTATAAAAAAAGCTAAATATCAGTAAAGTCTCATTGATTCGTCTATTTACCCTTTGGAGAACCGCATCCTCATTAAGCTGTCATTAGGCTTTTAGTGCCAACCTGCTCGGCTGAAGCAATTTAAGTGGAGCTGAATAATACAGACGTCTTACGTAAGACCCACTTCACTTGTGATCAATTATGAAAGCTTTGTGCAAGTGTAGCAGCAGCTGCAGGGGGAAGAAAGTGTTTCAGTGTCTTGGTTTGACAAGCTGGAGAGGAAATGAGGCAAAAAAAAAAAAAGAAAAGAAAAAAAAAAAGATGCGCTTCTTTGAAGGCTGTTGATACTGATCTGGTGTGACTGTAAATAGCCAGAATCTGTGCTTGCTGTCAGGCTATTTAGCGCTCGGTGGTTCTCAAAGGAGTTCCACAAAGGAGACAAAAACAGATGAAAGAACCCAAAGGTAAGAAAAAAAAAGAAAAAAAATGCCTGGTGTGTGTTTTAGTTTGTGCTGGGTTGTAATTGTAATATCTGCATGTAACCTGCATGTAACCTGTGAATATTCTTCAGGTTCATTAAGCGAAACGTCTCTTACCGAAGGTGGTGCCCGCTTCGGGCCGCGACACCGACGACACGATGACGAAACCGAAGCCTTCGTTCTCGCCCCGTCGGATCTCCACGTCGTAGGGCTGCACGGCGGCGACGGCGGCCGAGTTTGTGGTGCCATTTGGGGGCTGAGAGGACGTGGTTGCAGCTGCGGCGGCGACCACAGCGTTCCCACTGATCCCGGCGCCCCCTCCTCCTCCACCACCACTACCGATGCCAGAGGTGGAGCCGCTGCCGGAGCTGACGGTGCTGAGGGAGTTCTGACTGCCCTGCGGTGTGCGCTTGCCCATATCCTCCGTCAGGCTGGGCGCCTGGGTGCTGCTGTGGTGTGAGGACGCTGGCGACGGAGGGACGTCTCCCTCTGATTTAACTGCACGAGACAGAAGCGAAGGGTGAGGAAGGTTAAAGAGGAAGCAGCGGGAGAGAGATTTTATTAAAGGAAATAAAGAAGAACAAACAGGAAGGCAAATAAGAGACGGAGGGCTGAGCCAGCCTCAAAAACATCAAGAGGCACATCAAAAGCAGCTGGTGAGAGTTGGGCCAGTCTTTGCTTTTAAAGAGAATTGGGAGACGTTGAAACGACGACGCACAGCACAATGAGACGATTACACAAGTAAACCTTACGTCGTCAATTAAGCCGAGGTGGATCGTAATTAGCTACATTTACTCGGTTACAGTCACTTGAGTAACTTTAAAAAAAAAAATAAAAAATGAGCAGTACACCATTTTTATTCTTTTACTTCAGTAATAAGATTATGAAGTATTGCTACTCTTACTTGAGTACCATTTTTGTGTACTCTACCCCCCTACTCTAGTAAGTCTAATAAAAGTACTTTCTTTTCGCTGCTGGTTTGCGTCGGAGGACGACCTCCTTCAGTGCTCTGCCCTCTACTCTGCTGTGAACAAAAGGTAAACCGAAGACGTGTCCTGCCTGCACAATCTCCACATTTCATTTCATTCCACAATTCATTTCCTGTACGTCAGCTCGGGGAAGGCGCCTCATACCGTCTGCCCTCCAAGGCGGACGGGGGAACAAGCAACGGACTAATGTCTGAGCTGCCGTCATCGTCTTTATAGTTAAATGTGCTTGAAGCAGGCAGAGTTCAAGTTGATGGGATAAGCTCCCCTGTTGCACACAGTTCACTCACAGAAAGCCCAGAAAAGAAAAATGGCTGCAAATTTTGTGCAAACCAAATATAGAGATCAATTAATTACTACATTTGCCAAAGCTCGTGACTATTTTGTGGCAATCTTCTGTAGAAATACGAGTATAATTAAATCTTTCCAACAAATTGTTGTTTTACATATTGATCTTCAGACATAATTATCGACAAAAAACAATTCTAACCTATAGGCAATACTGTGGGAGAGATTTTAAAGTCAAAAATTGAAAAGGCAAACAAATGTGTAAGAGATGCACACATTCTTGGGTCCGTTTGCCTCCTAATAGGATAGTTAACTTATAAATGATCAGTTTTGACAACACAAATCACATGAGATGTTGTGGTTTTGAAATAAAAAGCACAATGTCGGCGGCTAAAAGTTGAATTTCATGATCAACGTGGGCTTTCGGAGCACCCTGGATGTGCTCACAGCACATTCATCCCATACAATAACCACTGTAATATGCTCAGGGTTTGATAGCTAGGTCATATTAGCCTAAGTTTGTTTTAATTTTAATTTCAAACCTTAAAAAGTTGTCCTGGTGACCAACACAATGACAATGCAGATACGGATGATTAAAAAAACTCATTAGAATAAAAAATATATATATATTATGTTCAGTGTGACCATAGGTGGGATTTTTAACTTGACTGAGTAACAATGGACAAAGGGGACAATTCTGCTGCTCCCAGCACCAAATATGGAAAACCAAAAGGAATGGATGGAAAGAATTAATCCAGGTAAGAAAATATGAACAAAAAAAAACAACTTAATCTTTCCAGAAAAACAAACACACCACTCCATTCCACATGGCCAAAAGCTTTCTCTGAATCACAAACACCGTTTTCCACCAGGTTTACTGAAAGTATGTACAAAATATATTGAAAAAAGCACCGAATATCAATAAAGGACGGCTTTTTATAAACCCTTGCTGATGTTCAGACATAACTGGAGGCAAAATCTTTTTCAGTGGGAGAGAAAGAGTTAAAAGTCAACTTTCAGAGGTCAAAACAGGACTAGAGGATCAAAATGTGAGTTTGAAAAGCATTTGAATGGAGAACTTTATGGAAAGTAGACTGTGGCCTCCTCGTCTCTCCTCACCTGCGTAGTTGGTTTTACGTCGCACAGTCAGATTAACGTGGCCCTGCTTGGCAGCCTGCTGCATCAGCTGCACCACCAATTGATGCGACTTGCCCACCACCGCTGTGCCGTCCACACATATCAGTTCATCTCCGGATCGGAGGCGGCCGTCCTCATCCGCAGCGCCGTACTTCACTATGTGGCCGATGTAGATCTGGAACACAGGCCAACGCAAATAAGCAGACTCCAACCAGGAAACAAAGGAAGCAGCCGACACATTCGTCCTGTGCTCTTTGCACGTTGCACAACAATGTAAACCTAGCCGTTGTGTTTTTAACTCTTCGACTTACAAACATGTGCAGTAATTCAACCCGGGACTAACAATAAATTAGGTTTTTCTTTAGGGGAGAAGGAAGAACAACAGTGTGGGGCAGTGAACCAGAGCAAACAATAACTTGTCTACAAAGAAGTGAGGGGGGAAAAAAGAGAAGTGAAATCATTGTATCAGAGAGAAACTGTCTTGTTAAAAATCAATGAAGCAAATTTGTCTAGAGTTCAACATGTTAAAAAAAAAAAGGGGGAAGCTTCTCACTCAGATGGTGGAGATAAAACCTGTTTTTTTTTTTGTTCACGTTACTGAAACACCCGAGTCGGATTTCTCACAAATATACAAGTAAAATAGTGTTAACAGGAAGAGGAACGCAAGTAGGTTCAATTCATGAGAGGTTCAGGAACTCACAGGTTCTCCTGGCTCGTTGCCTCCAAGGATCCTGAAGCCGAAGCCCGTGTCCTTTCTCCACAGGAAAATGTCCTGCTCCTGGAAGTCTGGAACTGTGACATCAATGAAAAACCATCAGTCATCTCAGGATTTTTTTTTTTTTTCCCACAGTTCCTTCACCCGTGCGAAAAAACCCCATCCATGATGAGTTTGAGGGAGGACATTAGGCTTGATTCAGTCAAATGTTCTTGCAGTCAGCATCAGGATCATAATAAGATCAGAATAAGTTCTTCAGCAAGACCTTCGTTTTTGTGTCAGGATGTTGATGGTTCTCTTAGTAATTTTAGGCTTTGATATGAAAGTGTCATATGGCGCAAACACAGGAGGAGTAAACAACTGGTGCATCAACGGTGAGAGCATTTATTTTTGGTCCAAAGCAAAGGTAAAAAAACTTTTTTATTGTGACATAATTAGAAGCTACATGACTGGGACTCTTGTTTGATGTCTAAAATAGTAAACTTTTTATTTTTAACTTGTTAAAAAAAAAAATCTTACACCCGCATCAGTTGGAGAACAATTTTTCTTTATGAAGAATATGGTATATTTGCATTTCCATTGTCCTCTAGTAAGCATGGGATAAGTAAAGTTTTTTTTTTTTTTTTTTTTTTTAGTGCAAACTTTTCGCTTTTCTTTTTTCAATGTCCAAAAATAAACTTAAAAAGCTGACACTGGTTTGAAAAGATAAAATATAAAAAAAGAAATCATACCTCTCTAAATTCTTCACAATACAGACAAACCACAGCTCCCTTTTCCACAAGCACAGCCTTCAATATATGCATCGGGATTTTATGTGATGGGTAGAGAAGCATCATCGTGAAGTGGAAAGTTAATGGTTCCACGAAAAAAAAATCTGAAAAATCTGGTGTTCATGTATATTCAGTCCCCCCCAACTCCTCAATCAATATTTGTGGAAGAAGATTTTGCTGAAAAGTGCAGCTGCACTACTTTCTCCTGCAGAAGTGTCCAAACCTTTTGACATGGGGGTCAGGATGACAAATAGAAAGTAGTTAAAGGGAGAGGATAACGTTTTTATTTTGATTTATTTTTATTTTAAGTGGATGTCTGCGGCCCAATTTACTATTAAAATAAATTGAAAGCAAAAAAAAAAAAAAAAAAAAATGGGTTGGTTTAACCTTACATTTTTAGTTTTAAGAACACGCTTATCCATCTACGTCTTTGGAACGCTCTCACTTTACTGAAAATTGCAGCCTAACATTTCTTTTTTAATGTGCATCTCAATCAATTGTCCTGAAGTCAAAGTCAAGTCACTCTTGAATTGAGCTGAAGGCTGCAGGTAACCATTTCAAGGGCCAAGCTTTGGTCATTCATGCTTTACCTCTGCATGGTTTCAAACAATGCTGAGCCCTTCACTTGTATTCATGACACTTAGGCACATCATAGTAAAAGAAGGTTGTGGTGGTTAAAACAAACGATTCTCTCACTTTCCTAATTTTGTGTTTTTGAAAAATATATCATTTTCTTTCCATTAAACAGTTTTACTACCTTGTCTTAGACTAGCACTTAAAATTATAACACATTGAATAGTAAGGGTGTAATAATATGAAGAAATGTGTAGAAAACAAAATGATCAAGGGGTAGGAATATTTTTGCAAGACACTGCAAAATAGTAATGCATAAACTTGAGCTAGTATTTGTACAGTCGCAGCTGTGCATCTCTCAACGAAACCCCAGAGAGATTTCAGGTTTTGCATCGGCGCAGGCCGCTGCTGCCAAAACCGCCAAAGCCGCAAAGAGCCGGCAGTGTGGTGCGAAGCGCAAGAAGTCTGTTCCCAATCTGTTCTTTCAGTCAACACTTCAAATCCATGCAGAGTGAAGCCCTTCCTTCCAGCCTAAGCCGATGTTTTTTGTTGTTTTTTGTTGTATTTTTCTGTGGAGTAACGGAGCGAGTCAAAGGCTAACTGTTGCAATCTGCCCGTGGCGATTAATAGATCCATAAGCGATCCCTGTGGTGAGGCAACCGGGCATCAGAGGGTGTTTCAAAAATAGACACGAAGAGCCAAAGCAACAGTACGCTTGGTTCGAACATTAAGAAAATTAATCTGGGAACATGTTAAAACCCAGAGATAATCAAAACAGAGCCCAATAAAACATGAAGCCTCCAACCTTTCCAGGCACAGCTAATTTGGAGCAGGTCAACGACGTGCGAGTCAGTTTTTTCTGGGGAGGATTATTTGTGCAAATGGAAATCATTCAGCACCTGATGCGTGGAAAGACCTTGATCTCAGCAGAGCGTGTCATTACACTGAAAGCGAAAGTGGAGAAATTTCTTTGCCCGGGCCCTTCGGAGCCAACGCTGAAGGATTTCTGAGACGAAAGCCCAGAGGAGGAGAAGGAGGGAGGAGGGAGAGGATTCACACCTCCTGATACGGGTCGCTTGTCCTCTCTAATTCCAGGTGTTCCTCCTGACCTTTCCGTGCGTCACAATCCCATTTCATCTTCTTGCCTGTTCTCCTTCAGATTCACTTACAAATAAATGGAAACCTTTCTTTCCTGATTCTGAAATCATTTTCCTTTATTTTCTCTGTTTATCACCAAGTCACGCGATTTGAAAAAAAACAAAAAAACCTGCGAGTAATTTATCAAATTAGAATCGCCTTGTAGAGATATTTTCTATCTCGGCTCTTGAATTTTTCTTTTTTTTTTACCCTCAGTCTCACTTTTCTCTTTTTGCACAAACCAATGTTCTCGCCCCTCTAAATAATGAAACATCCCTGACAGGAGATGTTTGGCCATCTGATGAGATGTTACCACTTATGAGCTCTCGCACTCCTGTGCTTTTCCTCAGAGTCTCTCTCTTTTTGTACTTCAAAATTTGACACTTGATATGAGCGTTATTCTTATTAATTGGAGGCATCTACCAGCATGGTAACTGGAAACAAAGGGTTGGGCAATCCACTGACAACCACTCCGCCATTGCAGCTAATTACCTGCTACGTGGCTCTTATGGGAAGGGCAGTATGTCAGTGGTGTTAATGTCGAGAATTGAACAAAAGCGGCATCATTAGTCCATGCGGAGAAAAGAACCAAAAACATGTGCAAAACCTTTGTTTTCTAGGAGACACTCGCCTGGTAACACTGGATCGCCGTGGTGCTAACAGGCATCTGTTAATGACCAAATTAGCTGAACTGCAAATTATGACAGAAGTGGAGCCGCATCACAGCAGCAAAACATTTACACATGTTCTAGACAGCCAAATAAGTAAGAAAGACTCATTTTTTGAAATCAACGAGAAGTTTCAAAAACTAAATCAAATGTCCTCTGTCTTTCACAAACCCTGTCCCCCAAAAAGACAACCTCAAACTCATGACGAGGAGAAGCTCTGCTTCATGCCAAATGTCACAGCTAGCTTAGCTTAGCACAGAGAGAGCGAGGGGAAATAAGTGCGAACTATCACACAAACAAAATACTAAATATTTTTTAAGAGGAAACTTGATTTTTTTTGTTTTTTTTTTTTTTTGTTTAAAGTAACCAAAACTCAAATACTGATTTGGATAAAAGCCAATGTAACTGCATAACCTCGCTTTCGATGTTAGCTAAGTTAGGCTGGTTGGCAGCTTTGTGTTCAGCTTCCAGCACCTGAAAACAAGCAAGAGCATACCTAATGCTGCGCTTCATTTGCCTCTGAAGTCTGAACGTGGATATTGGATTTATGTCACAACAAAGCTGTGAGTCAGAAAGCCAGTGGGATTTGCTAATTATTGAGGTATTAACTGGAGTCGACTCTTTGCCAAATGATCCCTTTGGAGTTTCAGTAATTTCTTTTGTGATTTTTGGGGACTTCAAAATAATATTGCCTGACACAAAACTTTCTACACCAAGCATGCATCAATTTGTACCTGGCTTCAAGGCCTTCCATGCCAGCAAATGACAGATTTGCTGGCATGGAAGATTTCAAGTATTTTGCTATAGGAAATGTGGCTGTGATTTCAATAATAATAAAAAAAAAAGATTTATTTTCTGTTCCATCATATTTCATTAGAGTCAACTGGCTCAAGCAAGGATCAAGAGAGTAACAGTCATGTATGAAAATATGCTGCAACTTAATTTAATCAGTGTGAATTCAAAGTAAGGAAGAAACAACTGGGAATGTGCAGGGGATACAAATGCTTTGGTGTCTATGCTTACTATGAATAGAAGCTGTTAATATATATTTTGTTCAGATACCGAAGGAACAAGTTCACAACCAGAGGTATTGCACTATGTGTTCATTTAATAAGACAAAAGGCAGCCAGAAGAGTAAAAAACAGAGAACTTCTGGATCTTTAAATGGTTTTTACTTTTAAAACTCAGACTCTTTGGAGACATCATGCTTTCCAAGTTGGATATCCCACTTCTTGTGCTTGCATTTCTAACTAAGAGCTCGGAAAAAAAACAGACTTCAGAGTACAAATGGAGCGCAGCATTAGGTTGCACACGGTACTACTTCCAGTAAAGAGGTTAGAACCAGCTTACTTACACACAGGCTTTGCTTCCCAAGCCTTTCAACTCCCATTGCAAATACACCAGGGGTCCATACCCCACCGCCCCCCCATGCAGCCCTCATCCAACCGCCACCAAAAATTCATATACTTACGCCTACTTTCATACATGCTCCTGGACTGGGCCCAGATCTTAAAGGGGTCGGGTTTTCTGTGGGTGGTCCCGTCTCCTTGGGAGTCCTGGGAAGGCAGGCCAGGCAAGGGCTGCGAGGGCGCCGGGGGAGTGCCGCTCTCGCTGAGGGGGGCCGCCAGAGACGAGTGCACGGGCGAGTCCGTGTGGGCGCTCCGGTGGCTGGAAACACTATGCTGGGAACTGCTCTGACTGTCCTTCCTTGACAATTGCTGTAGGGAAAGTAGATCAATATCATTTGACTCTTTAAAATAGGCTTTAATGGAGCATGGAAGATTAAACTCGGAGTTGACATATAAGGGTTATTGCATTCTCTGCCGCAGATAAGAGAGCCATCAGAGCTGCAGCTGCTAAGAGGAGATGATGAAGATACAAATACAAAAGAGTTTCATATTAGAGCAGCAAAAAAGACCAACAATTGCTGCTCCTCGGGGTAAAAGGAAGCACGCTCTGTGTTTCTACCTTAATCAACTAACAGAATAATCAAGCTGCTTTATTCAGAGAAATTCCGTTATCTTGCATGAGTACCGAGAACAAAAAAAAAATCTCTGTGGTTTCTCATGATTAAGTCATTCGGCTGAGATAAAAACACCGTGGATCAATTTAGAAGGGCCACATTGCCTATTCCTTTTGTCTAGCAGAGGGGGGAGTTTTAACAAAGAGCTGCATTCCCCGCTGCATATGGAGAAAAGAAATCACAGTGAATAAAGCACTTTTGGGTTTGAAACAAAGACTATTTTTACTGGTGAAGTCATAAATTGCACCCGGCCTCGCAATTACATGGGTGCTTAAACACTTGCCCAAGGATTTGAGGTGTCGGAATAAAGCACATGCACTTCTGAGCTCAAGTGCAAGCTGACAGCCTTTACAGAGTATGTATTTTTTATTTTTTTATTTTTTACAGTCTCATCTTTATCCTTAGCGTGCAGAATTCACCCTGCTGTGAGGATTTCAAACAGAAAGCAGCAAAATGAAAGAGTTACAGTCGGGGCACCAAGGGAAAGAGGCAGCGGGAGAAAAAATGACAGCAGTTAAGACTCCTTGCGTATTACTTTGGATACGGTGGACAAAAATACAGCGAGGAGGGGGCGGGGGTGAGGGGGGCTCGTCAGTTCTCAACTATCAAAGTGTTTGGCCTTCAAAGTGCAGCCATGTCTTCAATAAATTCTGACTCATTACTCACCGAATCTGCCGCCCACACCTCTGCAATTCATGTTTATATTCATCATGCTAGTTAAACATAAAAGAAGCTTGATGCTCTTGAAAATACTAAGTGGGAGCTGCAACTTGCACTTTGTGATCGGAGCGCGAGCTCGACGGGTTCAATGATAAACTTGAAAATCAATAGAGTCTGTTAATGAGAACGTCATTGTCTGGGGTTGCCAGCGAACTTTAAGATCTGACGTGTTCATCAGTTCACAAAATTATCTTCTCTTCACTTTTATCTTTCCAAATAAATGGAACCTGCTTTAGCCAGCGAGGAACCAGTGTTGGATGCACCTGAAGTCCAAACTTGCCTGCCTTTGCAAATGAAAACAAATCTCTTGCCCTTGATGGATCCGTTAGCTTTGATCTTCCACTGCCACAAAGTTCTCCCTTAACGTACCGAGACCGCTCTAATGCATTGGTTTGTCCAGCTCCAGCAACTTTTAAAAGATAAACAAAATCGGAAAGACAGAAGACAAAAGACAGAAAACAAATCTCGGTTTCTGCCTAAGAAACAGAGATCGGCTGTGAAATACTGGATCCTAGTTTGTACCGTAGGAATTGGCCAGGTATCAAGGAATGTCGACATCGCCATGTTCTCCCTCCTCCACCTCTTACTACTGCTGGTCAGCCGGCTGACAGAAGGCTCTTATACTTTTCCATTGCTTAATAAAACCTATGTTTGGCTGTAAGGAAATATGGAAGTTTTTTTTTTAAAAGTTACATGTAAGGCTTTTTAAGACCTTTTAAAGAATGTTTAACATTGTTTAAATTTGAAGACCAAAATTATAAAAAAAAATAATTTTGCTTATCTTAACCGCCCTGTAGTCTTAGCGCGACACTCAGGAGAAACACGGCAAATGTCACGTTTGGACAGCGGGAACTTGGGGGCGTTGTCCCATCAGACTGTCAGTTCCAGGAACCACACACACACAAAAAAAACCCTCATAAAGCACACATGGGGTCAGTGCAACCTCATCGGACTGTGTAAAAGAGTAAAAAACTTGTGGGGTCTACACAACCCCGTCTTTAAGACCGCAAGAGGGTTAAAACCTGGGGTCACTGGGACGCCACAAGCTTTTTACACTATGTGATCTGGCGGGTTTGCATTGACCCGCCTCCGGGTTTTATTGTATAGTTTCGGGAACTGATAGTCTGACGGGAAAACCTCTATCACTTCCCCACTGTCTAACTGTGATGTTTGCCACACTCCTCCCGAGTGTCGTTCTAAGACCTTGGGAGGGCTAATAAATTACTTAACAGTTGAACCCAGTAAATGACGTTAGCTGCATCTTTGCAGAAGCTACAAATTCCAGGTTCAGGAACTCCTTTTCTTTGATTCATGAAGGCTGAACGTATGGCGATAAATGTCACCAGCATGGATGTTTTCTTCCCAAAATCATCAGCCTTTCATTAATCATAATGAAACATCCACATTTCCCAACCTGAACTACAACCAATAAAGGAATGTAGAAGCATTTTTCTCAAAATAAGTATGTAGTTTAAAAGGGTGCCGATCTTTAAATGTCTTTATTGTCTTTGCAGCTTTAGTTGGTTCATACCCAACTTCACATGGGAGAAAATAGTGCTATATAATGTGGATTTTCATGTCAACCACATATTAAAATAAAATAAAATAAATGCAAACAGTGTGTGATAAAAAAAATATTTAGATGATTGAATTAAGTAACGCACTAAATGCAGGGCACACAAAACAAAGGGGTAAGATTTGTTTAAGAGGTAAATTAATCCAGATCCTAATGGAAGGAGCAAACAGATGAACATTAGGTGTTTTGTTTAGATGCAATTATAATCAAAAATGCATTTTCTCAATCCATTGTAGACATGGCATAGGTATTTGAAGAAAGTACTAACTTTGTTAAAGAGGAAGAGGTCTCAAACACAAAATTGCTGCGTTAGAGGGTAAATTAAAAAGTTTTTTTTTTGTTTTTTTTTTACTGAAAAGGCCTGTCTGTAAACCAGCTGACTTCAGGTTCTACCTGAGCAGACAGCCTGACTAACAAGCTAATGTCTTCTTTCTGCTTGTATAGCTCTAAGAAAACCAGAATGGCAAAAAGGCATATTCTGTAAACTAAGCAGAAGAAAACTTCAACTACATTTAACGATTTCTTTTGTTCTGCACGTTCTCCTAAGAGTATGTGTTACATTTAAATATGACATTAATGTAGCATGCCTTTTCCCAAACCATTTTCTTCAACGAGACAACCACCACCATGATGTACCCAGCACCAACACCTCATTCCCCAAAACACTTTCAGACCCTTCTAAATGACATCACATACCATCCTAGCGTAATCTCTGTACGGAGGAGACAGGTCATAATAATCCTGCAAAACAAACAAAAATAAATAAACATGCATTCAGTCAGACAAGGTTGCTGGGGTCTCAGTCCTGATCACACATTCTGCTCTCATGCTACAAACTTAGCACCCAGCATGATGCCATAATCAGCATGTTAGCAACCCAGCTCACGCGGCGCATCAAAGCCCCTGGTCCCATCCTCCGCTGGAGGATGAGGGAAGGTATGAGGGGGGGCTCATGTAAAGCTATAGGGATCCACCCCCGCAAAAGCACAGCACCCCCATGTCTACAAACAGAGCGACAACATCAGCACAAGTTCAAGCACACAGGATGGGGGAGTGGGAGGCTGAGATCAGGTAGCTTCACATGGAGGACAGAGGTAGATGGTGGAAAATTAGTGGGAATGCCATCACTTACCAGTTTGGGGCTCTTCTTCGCAGGTGCCACTCCTGTGAAGCCGGACAGAGAAGAGAAAAAGACAAAGGGAGATGGTTACCAATGGAGTTTGTAGTCCATGTTCAGACAAGAAGTAAAAAGAAGGGGGAGGAAAAAAAAAATCATTTCACAACGCAGACTCCCAAACAATGTCAAAGCAGTGCACATCTAGCCCTCAACCCCCTTTATCTCAGCTCATCTCTTTCCCTGCTGGGTGCCTTTGCTTGCCCATCCGCGGCTGGCGTTCGAGGAGGGGAGGGAGGCGGATGACGGGAGGGGGGGGTCTAGGCAGCGCGATCTATCTGCATCACCGCCGCGTCCAGCATTTGGCTTGACTGGTGCAGCGAAACAGCGGGGCCGGCCCCAAGGGCTTATCCAGCCCGGCGCTCGCTAGACCCCGGCTACGCGCACGAGAGACAGAGAGAAACAGAGAGAGAAAGCGTATGTGTGCATGTTCGAGGAAAAAAAAAAAAAAAAAAGAAAAAAAGTGTGAGCTAAGAGCGAAGAAAAGAACGTTGGGTGAGCAATCAAGCCGAGGAATAAAGAGAGAGGAGTAAAAGAAGAGAAAAGCGAGCTTTGTTCGGGAGTTCCTGGCCGTAGGCATTACCCATGGAGAAGGAGTCCAAGATACTGAACATTAAATTATAGGCAACCGTCAGTTCCCCTCTTACTGAGACCATCTTCCTGTGTCCGCTGAGCGCCGCGCTCCGCTGTCGAAGGCTCCAGCATCTATAGGCAGTTGGCGCGTCCTCCAGGTCTCTCCCTTTCCCTGCTGGCTTTTCTTTTTTTTTTTTTCTTTTTTTTTTCCCCCCCCCCCGTCCTCCCTCTCTCTCACCTCGCCGTTCACTGTCCTCCCTCCCGTTTTTCCCTCAGCATCATCGCCCTCTCTCCCTCCCTCTTCCTCTCTACGCTCCATCTCAGCCTGCCTCCTTCCCTCCCTCGCGCACTGGTAAACATCTATTCAGCTGCATGCGCGCGCGCACGCACACACACACGGATTCTAGCATCAGATGGCTGCATGCAGCAGTCCTGACACAAATCAAAGTGTGCTTGAGGTATGACAGACGTGTTTCTGCGCGAGCGAGCAGTAAACAGAAAGGAATCACAGCAGAAATATCATTATCACAGACAGGCGAGCTCGGAAAATAAGACTGACACGTTGCTGGAATGCGAGTGCGGGCCCGCATCCTCGGAGGGAAATTTGTTGCTGAAATACGACTGACCTCTACACCTCCGCTGATTCCTCTCTACTTCGTTTATACACAGCGCACGGGACAAAGACTATTCTTTTTTTTTTTTTTTTTAATTGAATATGGGGGTTTGTTACTACACCTGTAAGAAACAGCCAGCCTCGCGCAGTGTTTGAAAACGAGGCGATTTCTTCCAAGGAAATGGGGCCACTATTGTGTGAATCCTTTAGGGACTCTGAGGGGATATGATCTTGCTCAGACATGCGTGCACACAGGCTCCTCTCTGCTTTATCTCTCAGACATCTGGGTTCATTCACAGCTGACACCTCCGACTGCGTTCCGTCTGGAGCAGTTTTCTTCCCAGTCCTCCATACTTCAATTTTCCCCTCCATTTTTCTCCCACCTGCTCTCCCTCTCCCCCGGACTGTTCAGAGTGATTTATTCGGGATTTGAGACAATCATGATGTCAATCCAAAAATGGCTTGTTGCTCTGGGAAAAGGATGCCGTCAGTCAACATTAGAGACGCACATATTTGACTTTTCCTATAGTTTTCTTTAGAGTTTGATCTGATGAGTCTGGAATTTTTATGTTACATTTAAATTTTATACATATACATATATATATATATATATATATATATATATATATATATATATACATATACATACACACACACACACACACACACAGCCCTTGTTAATGTGCTTATGGAATGAAAATGGTGGATGTTTTTAGTGTTGATGCAAAAAGTACAATTAATGATTATCTGATCTTTTGTGCACTGATCTGAGCCAGTTGGGGGGATAATTGGCCAATTCTGATCTCTGGCAGATTTATTGGTCATCTGTTGCTTAGGGTGTCGTGATGGAGTAGTGCCAGTCAGATGTTTGTGAATGTCAATGTACCAACCTGCCCTGCTGTGCTTCGAAACATTATGCACAGATGTATGTGTAGATTAACAGACTCTGCAAACAGCATCATTCAGACTTTGACCAATCCTGTTCAAAGCTCAGTGAGATTCTTCTCCAGTTTGTGGAATCATTGGCGCTTTAGTTTATATATCAGTGATTGATTATTTCATTATATATTTTGATTTTTCTTTTTTTTTATTGTTCTTGTTTTTGTCTGTTTATGGACCATAATTGTGTCTAAATAAAGAGATTGATTGATTAATAAGTAGAGATCAGGATTTTCCTGGACAATATCATATTGTCCTTCACAATTTCTAATTCTTTTTTTTATAAGAATGCAAATGAAAGAGACCAGGGGTAGATCTAGAGTTCTTTAATGCAGATATCAGGTTTGCTTCCAACGAAGGATTTCTGAATTGGTGCATCTCATGTAGTCAGTCATTTTGTTTGTATGCAAGCAAAATATTTTTTATTGTAAATATTGGGTGATATAGTCATTGAGGTCTATTTTGAATATTTTTACCAAATAAACGTAACAAAAGAGAAAAATGTGCAGCAGGTTCCACAGATAATTATGGGATTCCTCGTGGAGCCCTATCATTTATCTAATCTTGACTAAATCTTTAAAAAGCACATCAAAACTTGACACTTTTGGTTTACGTGTTTAGAATTAAAAGACGGTTTTGCCTCATCAATTGCAGACAATGTGATGCTGCCTGATTTAGAAAAAAAATAGCTAGTTGTAACGTGTAACAGATGTTTAAAATCCTGAAAATAATGAACAATTCCAACTAGTTGTGGGCTTTTCAAATCAAGTGAAAGAAAAAAAAAACCATCATGTAAACCCTTTTCCCAGCCTTAACATTTGGTCTTAAAATTGAAAGATGGACTCATAAATCACAGCAGAAATAACAAAAAAGGTGAGTGGTACAAAAGGTCAGCATTACATTTGCAGGCAGAGGCGGATCTGCTGGCTTTTGTGTGTCTGTAGGCGTAGCAGCAGAATGCGTCTGAAGCCCTTGTATCAAAGGCATTGTGGATGTTTGGGCCGACCTCCATACCCAATTACACACAAGAGGAAGGAAAGAGCGGTTTTAGACAGGTGGGCGAACTGGACAGCGCTTTGGCTGCCTGTGAGATAGTGCTCAGCTAAATCCTTTAGGGCAAAAAAAAAAAAAAAAAAAAAAAAAACCAGAGCTGCCAAGAGGCTTATTTTCATCTTTAGACTTTAACAGTGTCAAAGCTTTTACTAAACTAAGAATACTCCAAGAAAGCTTTTCTCAGAGATGCAAGAAGATTTTTTAAAAGCAAACTATATTTTCTACAAAACATTGAGACATGCCTGAGGCTCACTGAGATTGCCGAAGTGTGGGAGAGAGCAACACTCTCAGCAGATAATAGGAAGGCCGAATGGAGTACAGCAAATCTGCTCTGCTTTATTATTTGATTGAACATGACTGATTTGAAAATCTCAATAACGATTCAGTGGAAATACAACAAACTGTTACAGTAATACAAACCCCAATAATCGATAATGCATGATGATAAAAATAGTATAAAAATTAAACTCATTCTTTTTGTCATAGTTTTGAACAGGCGACTGCTTGCTCTCACACAGTGTGACATCACCTCCGCTCTTAACATAAATAATTAATATCCACCCAAGGCAGAAAATGTAAAAAAATATATATATGATCTGAGTGCAGAACTCCATTAAGAAAATCTGGAGGTCAGAAATCAGCCACAAAACCTTGATTGTTGCATCTCCAGAAATAAAATTTTGAATTATTTATACTCCAAGTTCAAATAATTCCATGTAGTTTGACAAAAACTGCTCTGTACCACTTGAGAGAAATAACAAAATAATAAAAAAAAAAGCCCTCTGGTTTGGATTAGCTTTGCTCTGTTGAACCGGGTAAACAAAAGGTGCTGCACGTTTCCAGTCGGCAGACAGGAACTGTTGCACCAACCTGGCATCGCAGCAGTCACTAAACGGAAGACATTACTAAGCAGATTATCTGCTGTGTGCATGTACGCAGCGGTAGATCTCGCCTCAGAGTGATGGCCTCCAACAGGCGGGCCCATCTGTCACCGTGGCGACGGTACCTGGTGGCTGTGGCGACTCGCAGACCGTTCCCCAAGCAACAGTTGTAGCTGAATGGATAAGCAACAAGCCCACATCAGCTGGGCACGTCAGTCTGTTGGACTGCAGCTTGTTTAAAACTGATAATATCTATGCAAGTGTAGAGAAGAAATCAAAGTTTGTTTTATTATGTCTAGAACTTGTTTAGCTTGTAGCGGTTTCAAAAGAAGCAGGGGTGAAGCCCGCACCCGCCTCCCTCAAATCCACCCTGAGGGGAACCCAGCGCAGACTGTCGGCAGAGCATCGTCATGGAAACAAAAGATGGTGCAGTGGTAGAGATTTTCCACTCAGCTCTGGCTGTGGAGGTCTAAAGACGGGGTAGACTGGTGGAGGTGGGGAGAGAAAGCGGCTCGCCTTGTCCCCCGCGCAACAAGCAGCGCCTCACAGGATTGGGCCTTCAGCAAGCCTAACGTGACGAGAGGTGAATCATTGGCAACCTAGCCAAACCCCCCACCCCACCCCGACCCCACACATCCCACCTCATCATTGCTTTTCCGGACCGCAGTGCTGTTCGTTATGGTGCCTTTGGAACGTACAGTCAGCAGATTTTTTTTATGCGAACTGAGCAAAAAATACAACGCTTCCTGGCCGTACAGTGAATTGATTTCCTGCTTTGGTCTGTGCAGGGACCCATCATCAGAGTTTATCTTCTCTTAATGGCCATATACAACCCTGTCCACATTAAATGGGCCTTAGAAATGCAACCGATAGTTTGATTATGTGGGTTATGCAAGTTCACACAGTCGCGTGTATCGGCACTCATTTTCAA